ACATATTTGTAGATTTTGTCCTGCTGATCATTTTTGCTTTTTAAAGTTTCTATCTATATTTGTATCCATTCTACTCTTTTCAAGATAATAGGCAAAAACTTTAAAAAAAAAATGGTAAAAATCATCTTTAAACGGAAAAAACTCCCAAGAACAGGTTGAATTAAGATTTAAGACATGGTGGCTTTTTTGTCAATCTTGTATTGCTGATCAATGTTAAAAATTGTCATTGAAGATCAATAACTCCAATAACTAGTCCTCTGAAGATTTCAGCCATATGACTTTTGTGCATATCTTGTCTTTTTTTTATTAAAATTTCTCTCCATTTATTTTTGTTTTCAAAATAATAGATAAAATTGGAAAAAAAATTGGTAACATTTGACATTTAAGGGCAATAACTCCTTTAAAAATGTGTGACAGTTTTGACGTAATTACACATTTACAGCAGGTAGATCTCAATATTCTAACATTTCTCCAATTTCGTGGATTGAAGAACAATTGTATTTTTGTGGGTTTTGCTAAAGTTGGCATACAAGCCTATAGAAAATTTGTAAGTTTACATTAAACACTTTTATAAGTTGGTCACTTATATATCCACAAAAATTGGTATCCAAAGAATGATAATGAATCCAGAGTATATGGAAATAGGTTCTTAAGTTGTACTGTTACACCACTGTCCCAGGTTAGGGGAGGGTTGGGATCCCGCTAACATGTTTAACCCCGCCACATTCTGTATGTATGTGCCTGTCCCAAGTCAGGAGCCTGTAATTCAGTGGTTGTTGTTTGTTTATGTGTTACATATATGTTTTTCGTTCATTTTTTGTACATAAATTAGGCCGTTAGTTTTTCTCGTTTGAATTGTTTTACATTGTCATTTCGGGGCCTTTTATAGCTGACTGTGCGGTATGGGCTTTGCTCATTGTTGAAGGCCGTACAGTGACCTATAGTTGTTAATTTCTGTATCATTTGGTCTCTTGTGGAGAGTTGTCTCATTGGCAATCATACCACATCTTCTTTTTTATATATATGACAAAATGAGTAAAAGAAGATGTGTTGAATACATAAATGTGACAACATCCCAACAACACAAAAAATATGACATCCATATGATTAATTAAAATCTTTAATACATTAAGTCAAATTCTGATTCTGGTACTGATATGAAAAAAAAAAACTTTCTATCTCAAAATTTTACTTTTCATGATTTAAAATTTTTATTCTTGATCCGGGAAACCATATATTAAACTGATAAAATTCTTTTTTTGTGTGTTGTAAATGTGGAAAATAAGAAAAAAGATGTTACCTTATGTACTTTTATCACATATTTTTATTGTAATAGAACTTACATGTACCGATAGTGAGGATCAGCAAATTTTCTCCAAGGACTATCTCTGATGAAAACCAAACGTAATAAGTTAATATCAATATTTTCATGCAGGCAACATTGTTTTATTCAAATATTTCTTAGATTTCTGACGTTATCCCATGACTTTTGTATGTGATCATGTATGTTGAACAAAAAATATCCGACACTGTGACTCTGAAAAGAAATGTACTATCTCTGAACTAAAGATATTTGTAAACAATTTTTATTGTAATGAGCATGGTCTTCACTAGAATGAAAACTACATATAAATTATAATGAGTTATGATTTGTGTATTCCTAGTACAATACATAATTATAGGTATGTTTTAAGTTGGTATAATATCATTAAAATTATATGATAGTTCACTAGGCATTAAAAGTCACAATAAATCTAAAATTAAAGCTATATGGTGGTTCACTCTGCATTTAAAGCCACAATAAATTAATGATTTAAATATATAATAAAAGTTTAAAATTTGTTTCCCCCCTTTTTTACTAGTATGACACTTAAATGCTGGAATGTACAATTTGTTTCAGAATTTTTTGTTTACCTGGAGAACATATGTAAATGGGAAACACCTGCAATTAAGCCATGAAGGCAATTAATTAAGGGTATGAACATGTTTATAGAGACTTTGAAAAAGGGTAGGTACATGCAACTAAAGCTGCTATATAAAAATCATAATCACACCTGTTTTCTATATTGACCTATTGAACGAAAATGAAAAAATATGAGTAACATGCATATACTAGTAATGGCAAAAAAGTTGTAAACAGTCCTGTTTAAACTAACTTAATTCTTGATATTTTAATGTGGCTCTTTATTCCAGGCTTGTGACTGGCAAGTTGTACTGTATTCATATTAATAAGCACCTTGGTTTTATTTAGAAATTAAAAATGGGGTATCTTATATCAATGAAAATGATAAAAGACGTAAATATTGGTCTGCTCTAGATGATGATTGTAAAGATAATTTTTAAAATAGATTTCCTGCATAATGAGGTAATATTATTTAATCACAAAATTTGTAGGAAAATCTAAGAGTACTATCACGATTGTGGGTGTTATGGTGCATGAAAATTGGTGAATACAGTATTACTTGGCTGCATTACCCACCTCCCTCCTCAATTTTTTTTTTTAATTTTCTTTTCTTTTTTCTTTCTTTTCTTTTCTTTAATTTTTTTTCTCTCTTTTCTTTTCTTTTCTTTAATTTTCTTTCTCTCTTTTCTTTTCATTTTTTTTTCTCTCTTTTTTATAATTTTTTTTTTTTTTTTTTTTTTTCTTTTCATTTTGTTTTCCTTTTTTTTTTCTTTCCTTTTTTCTATTCATTACATTTATGTACACAAAATAATGCATGTGCTTGAAACTTTTTTCTTTCTTATATAAATATATATATATATATACATGTATGTACAGTCTTCTTAAACTTGTAGAAGATTTTGAACAATTGTTTTTAGAATCCCAATCTTTCAGTAGTTGTTTTGTTTGTTGATGCAGTGCATTTTTCGTCTTCATTTGGTTATATTTTCCAAGCAGTTTAAATCCAATAATCATCATTGCTCTCTCATACTGTTCAGTAAAAGACATGTTTTCCTGGATTTTCCGTTGCAAGTCAAACTTTTAACTTCTTCCGGTTCCTAGAATTGTATCAACCAGTGTTGTTATTTTTCTGGAAAAAATGATTTATTGATTTATAACAATAAAGAAGACTAATGATTTGTATATCAAACATAAGCTTTTATTTTATATATTGTATTGTTCAATGTTGATCATCTGCATATGGAATCATTTATATTGGGATATTACGACCAAAAGTCTAGTTTAGCTAGTGCATTCTCAGATAGTAGCCTGGAAACTCCAGACCAATTTAACAAAAAAAATGTTTCGGAGCAATACTTCATTTCAAACCCAATTCACATGCAACTGTGCTTTTATTTGTGTACATGTACTTTTATATAAGAGCACACATGGGCACTCGACTAGGATGTAATGGGGCTTGCATGTATTTTCTTGCAATCTCTTGAATAAACTGTTATCACAGAGATATGTCTCGCCTTTTTGTAATTTTGATAATGCAAATGTTGAAATTAAAATAGCAATACTTTAACATGTAAGTTATGCAAATATTCAAAGTCGATGAACCATGACTGAAGGTACATGGCTAAAAAATCTCCATGGAAATGAGATGTGCCAATGCTAATACAACTGCATACCAAATACCATTGACTTATTATAAGTCGTTCCCTTTAAACAAACCTAAACAAACATTAACTTGTAAACTATGTAAAAGTTTCAAAGTCAATGAACCATGATCAGGGGTGGGGCTATATAATCTCCATGGAAATGATACTTGCAAATGCCAATAAATTTGCATACCAAATATCATTTACTTAACATTAGCAATTTATCTTAAACTGATCTAATCACAAACTAATACATGTAAACTAAGCAAAAGTTTCAAAGTAAATAGACCATGACTGAGGGGGCGGTGCCAAATATTTTCCATGGAAATGAGATGTGCTAATGCTTATACAACTGAACACCAATTAACATTGGCCTACCACTAATGGTTCCCCTTGAACTGACCTAATCACAAACTAATACATGTTAACTTAGCAAAATTTTCAAAGTCTATAGACCATGACAAAGGGGGCGGAGCCAAATAATTTCCATGGAAATGAGATATGCCAATGCTTATACAACTGCATACCAAATATCATTGACCTACCACTAGTGGTTCCCCATAAATTGACCTAATCACCTAATCACAAACTAATACATGTAAACTATGAAAAGTTTCAAAGTCAATAGACCTTGACTGAGGGGGCGGGGCCAAATAATCTCCATGGTAATGAGATGTGCCAATGCTAATACAACTGCATACCAAATATCATTGACCTACCACTAGTGGTTCATCATGAACTAGACCTTATCACAAACTAATACATTGTTGACGCCGCCGATGCAGGAAACAGCATACCTATGTCTCGCTTTTTGACCCCGTCAAGGCGAGACAAAAGTCATACATAAACATTTAGAATTAGTAAAAATTGGGGGTACTTTTATTGTGGTTAAAAGTATCCCCATCTTTCTTTAAAATACATTAAGGGAACAACCATTTAACTTCAAGGGGGGGGGGGGGGTTATGGTTTTTGCCTTAAAAAAATATTCTGATCCTCAATTTGATGAAAAAAAATATTGTGGTCAAGCAGATGACAAAAAAAAAATATTCTGAATCCAAATTTTCCCCATACCTTAATGTGTTAAATTTTGAAAAAAATTATTTGATTGATAGCGTCAAAATACTATAAAAAAAATGTTGGCGCGCAAAAAAAAAATTCTGACTTAGACAAACAACTGTAAACCCCCACCTTGAAGTTATGGAGGTATTTTAAATGACAATTTAGCACAAGCATTCGAAACAAAATGTATTTAATTTACTAGTATGATTAATCAATGATGCCTATTTGATTTTTCGAAAGAGGTTCTCAAGAAGATCAATTTTATGTTAAGAAGACAGCAATATTCAAACAGGAAACCAATTAGTCGAGTAATGTTTTGGTATTTAATACTCGGTACTACAGAGCGATACTCGAATACTCGATGACATCCCTACTATGTACAGATATATATTTACCTGTTTGTGTACATATGTTTATTGTGAATTCAGTTTCTTCAGGTTCCTGACAATCTTTCCAACCAAAAGGATCCAAATTTTCATCTGCATAATAAAAAAAAAAACTTAGGCCAAATAAAAATATATGTGTAGTTCCAGTTACATCCTCCAAAAAAATTGGGTCTGTAGGTCAACTTTGTTTTTTTTTTTTTTTGGAATGTCAAAATCTGGAAAAAAATCTTGTTCACTGAGTCTGATTCTGGTAATATACACGCTCCTTCTGGAAGTTTGCCATTTTCTATATGTTTGGTTGTAAAATAAAAAGACATATTATGTATTTAGTTAATTTTTGTTGCATTCTGTTAAGAAATTGTTGCATTTTTAGCCGTAGTGGATACTTTTATTGGAAATTGATATGACTGAAGTCTGTGAATTTAATTTTAGAAATTCACATTCCATAAAATGGGATCGTTCAAAATTTATTTAACAGAATTAAAAAAAAGTACTAGGGTCGGTCTGGTAACCAGAACCACATATATATTTTTATTTTGCCTTAATTCTAACGGCAATCATGGCAATTGATCATATCTTAATTCAGGTAGGTTTTGAAAATTAGTATCAAAATGAAGGCAATAGTATGTGATTTAAAAAGAATTTTTGTTTCTGTTTGTTGTTAACATATAGGTCATTTTTTATGCCAGCACCAAAGTGGAAGGGGCATTAAGTGTTACCCTTGTACGTCTGTATGTACGTCCCAAAAGTGGGTATCGTTCTTCACTTTAGTTTGCCTCAACCAAATATTTTGAAACTTATACACAATTACCACAAAACTCTGATCAGCTTTGAATTTAAGTGGCATCACTTTTACTGTTCTAAAGTTATGCCCCTTTACAAATGGAAAAATTGCTGAATTTTTCATTTCCGTCCTCGAAATTAAGTGTGCCTCAACCAAATGTTAGTAGACTTATCCCAATGCTTATTACCGCAAAACTCAGATCAATTTCTAATTAGGGTGACATCACTTTTACTGTCCCTTTATAATGTTTTATGCAACAAGGGGCATCATCTTCTCCATTTATTTATTTTATTGCAAATTAGAACTATGAAAAAATAACAAGGATTTTAAGATTTTCAAACATGGCTTTTCAAACAATATGTAATAAAGTTATGAAAAGATAAGTAGGGGTGTAAGCAGGCAAAATTGTAATGGCACTTCATGGATAAAACGAGATGATTCCGATTATCTGACAAAAAGTTAAAAAAAAAAAAAAAAAAGAGCAAACATCCTTAAGTATTGATGTGTTTACGACACTTGGACAAAGACCATAACCATATATCCCCTGTGGTGCAAGGTAGACAAAAAGAACTGACTAAACTCTTTAAAACTTTCAAGCCTAATGCACATTACATTCCTATCAATTTTTATTTTAAGATGAAAATAAATTTGTTTTTAACAGAGGAATTATATACTTACTAATATATAGCAGTATCAGACCACCAAGTTTTACTCTCCATCCATGAAAACAGTCACTGCAATAACCTAAAAAAGGAATTAAAATTAACAAATTATATATTTTACAAAAGTGTTAAATTGTTCGCCAAAAATTAGTTTTCCGACTTAAGATTAAGCATAGCATTAAAACCAGTTTAATATCTATAAAAGCCGGAAATACAAAACATGTTTTGATTTTGTTTCAACATTATTTTTTTTCAATAATTTATGAGTTATCTCCCATTGAATGACACATTCTTTCAGTTTGTTGTACTAGTCTCCCCCTGAAGATGAAATCTATCTCAGAATTTACTTTTCAAATGTTATAACATTTTATTCATGTTACTAGAAACCATATATCAAACTAATGAAATAACTCTTTCTTGGTACTTTGAATGTGGAAAATAAAAAATAAATGTTTGATCTGTAAAACTTTAACCTTAAAATTATCTTAGTGAAAACTGTGAAAAAAAGTATATTTATTACATCGGTTGCAACAAAGTACTGTGATTTCCAAGTTAAATAAAAATTGATGATAATTTCATTTCTCTGATTTTATATGCAACAATGAGTGTTGTCAAATAAGATATTGTGGATGATGTTGCATCAAAACAAAATTGAAATGTGTAGAAAGTTATTTCTTGTATTTTTGGTCAATGTAACACAACTAATCAAAGAATTAAAATATAGAAAAATATTCAACTTATGACCAAACAATAATAATTTACTCATACCTACATACATTTGTGAATTAGTGTATTGTTCCTTCAATTGACGAATATTTTTTTTTATATTTGAATTTCAAAATTTTGCGGTTGGTTCTTCTTATGTACAATTACTTCAAAGTTTGACAAAGTTATTGATGTTTGAAAACTTTTTAACCATAATACTGAACCCTAAATTTTGACGCCTATAGCAAAGTAATGTGAATTGCTATGCCTGGCTTCTGCAACAAAATGTCACATGTAAAATAACAAAATTCAAAGGCGTTTACATAATCTTTAATCAACAAGTTTATAAATCTATGCAATGGTTCTTACCTTAAAAGTCGGATTCAATGATCATTCTAAACTTCAATCCATAATGACAAGCAGTAATTAATGCTAACCTGAAAGTAAAATGCTTAGGTCAATCAAAATTGTTCAAACAGAGGCTCTTTAGAGCCCGTGTTGCTCAACATCATCTTCAACAATAACCACTTCTTGATTAAAATCATCACGAAAGGGAAATAACTCTATAAAGTGTTACTTGACACATTCAGTCACGTTGACATATTTTAGATCTTGTCCTGCTGGTCATTTTTTCTAGATAATAGGCAAAAACTGAAAAAACATGGTAAAAATCATCTTTAAACATCAATAACTCCATGAACAGGTCGACTGAAGATTTAATCTTGAAATTTTATTGTCTGGATTTATAAATTAAATTATTTTTATTCCCTCAAGTATTATGTTGTCTGGTCACTACTGTCAGTTCCAACTTGTTTTGCTGCCATGCTGCCCTATCTGAAGTTATAGGGAGTCATGCTGTGTTCCTTTGAATTGACAGGTGTGTCACTGCCTTTGAAGTTTGCTTCTCATGAATGGCTAATAAACTTTTTAGGCAACAAACAGGCAAAATTTTAACAGATGAGATGACTCTCAAAAAAACCCCAATAAAACAATTAATCTACAAATTGCACCGATTGTAAGCTTACATGATTTTACTTCTTTCAGTTTTTCTTACATCACAGAGTACAAGAATGTCTTAACACAGAGTAGGTAACCTATCAAAAAGTTCTATACTCTGGTAGCCATCATCATTGGTCAATTGCTCTTTTTGACTATATATCATTAACTTTTTTTCATTTTATACCTATATTTCAATCAGTAATGAAGACGTTTTTTTTATATAATCATTATTTCCAAATGTTAAGAGACTATTTGCTGTTATTATTAATTCAAAAATTAATGTGATGTTTTAATTCAAATCCTAAATTGCAGTACAAGTATACTTTCTTATTAAAATATATTTCATTAGAGTATGAATTTGATACAATTGAAAAAGAAACTTTGGACTAATTTGTAATAAATTTTCAAGCTGTTTCTCTAGGGAAAACTGATTTTATTACCTTAAAAATATTAACAGTTTAAGTACAATTGTAATGACCACATACCTACATCATCATCTAGGCATCTACAATTAAATCATCTCCATGTCTAAGACTGTACTTTCGTCTTCTTCTCTCACGGTTCCCGTCTATCTGTAATACATATTCAAATTATTTTAATATCTATCAGACAACTATTCATCAATGAAAAAAAAATATACTTACTTATATGCACAGTCAGCTATAAAAGGCCCCGAAATGACAATGTAAAACAATTCAAACGAGAATACTAAGTATACTTTCTTATTAAAATATATTTCATTCGAGTATAAATTTGAAAAAGAAATTTTGGACTAATTTGTAATACATTTTCAAGCTGAAAAATCGACTAAATATGTAGATATCCAAATTGACAATCGAAAACTTTACTTTCGTTCAGGTGAGACTATTAGAGAAAGGGTTTCCAAATTGTCAATGTTAAGAGAATATTTGCTGTTATAATTAATTCAGAAATTAATGTGATGCATGTTTTAATTCAAATCCTAAATTGGAGAACAAATAAAAAAGAAGATGTGGTATGATTGCCAATGAGACAACTCTCCACAAGAGACCAAATGACACAGAAATTAACAACTATAGGTCACCGTACGGCCTTCAACAATAAGCAAAGCCCATACTGCACAGTCAGCTATAAAAGGCCCAGAAATGACAATGTAAAACAATTCAAACGAGAATACTAAGTATACTTTCTTATTAAAATATATTTCATTCGAGTATAAATTTGAAAATGAAATTTTGGACTAATTTGTAATACATTTTCAAGCTGTTTCTCTAGGGAAAACTGATTTTATTACCTTTCAACTATTAACAGTTTAAGTACAATTGTAATGACAAAATACCTACATCATCATCTAGGCATCTATAATCAAATCATCTCCATGTCTAGGACTGTACTTTTCGTCTTCTTCTCTCTTGGCTCCCGTCTATCTGTAATACATATTCAAATTATTTTAATATCTATCAGACAACTATTAATAAATAAAAAAAAAATATACTTACTTTCCGATGCATATGTTACCTGTCCTGACGTAAATATCCTGGGGCTGGTATCTGAAACAAAAACAAAATAAGTTCAAAAATATTGAACCAAATATAAAACTTAAAAAATTGGCTACTTTAATTTTTCTTTTCTTTCAAAATATCTATAAAGAAAAACTGGCATTAATGGCAGCCATCATCATTGCTCAATTGCTCTTTTTGACTATATCATTAACTTATTTTCATTTTAAATCTATATTTCAATCAGTAATGAGGACGGTTTAATGATATAATCATTATTTGCGAAATTAATGTGCGTGTCAAATTATCAGAAGTTGGTGGCTAACCAAAACAATCTGATGTTTACATTTTGAACAGAAATGATTCAAATTCAACTGAATTTCAAACAACCTAAATCAAGTCATATTTTCCAAATTACTTTAAAAAAATCGACTAAATATGTAGATATCGAAATTGACAATCGGAAACTTTACTTTCGTTCAGGTGAGACTATTAGAGAAAGGGTTTCCAAATTGTCAATGCTAAGAGAATATTTGCTGTTATAATTAATTCAGAAATTAATGTGATGCATGTTTTAATTCAAATCCTAAATTGGAGTACAAATAAAAAAGAAGATGTGGTATGATTGCCAATGAGACAACTCTCCACAAGAGACCAAATGACACAGAAATTAACAACTATAGGTCACCGTACAGCCTTCAACAATGAGCAAAGCCCATACTGCACAGTCAGCTATAAAAGGCCCAGAAATGACTATGTAAAACAATTCAAACGAGAATACTAAGTATACTTTCTTATTAAAATATATTTCATTCGAGTATAAATTTGAAAAAGAAATTTTGGACTAATTTGTAATACATTTTCAAGCTGTTTCTCTAGGGAAAACTGATTTTATTACCTTTCAACTATTAACAGTTTAAGTACAATTGTAATGACAAAATACCTACATCATCATCTAGGCATCTATAATCAAATCATCTCCATGTCTAGGACTGTACTTTTCGTCTTCTTCTCTCTTGGCTCCCGTCTATCTGTAATACATATTCAAATTATTTTAATATCTATCAGACAACTATACTATTAATAAATAAAAAAAAGATATACTTACTTTCCGATGCATATGTTACCTGTCCTGACGTAAATATCCTGGGGCTGGTATCTGAAACAAAAACAAAATAGGTTCAAAAATATTGAACCAAATATAAAACTTAAAAAATTGGCTACTTTAATTTTTCTTTTCTTTCAAAATATCTGTAAAGAAAAACTGGCATTAATGGCAGCCATCATCATTGCTCAATTGCTCTTTTTGACTATATCATTAACTTATTTTCATTTTAAATCTATATTTCAATCAGTAATGAGGACGGTTTAATGATATAATCATTATTTGCGAAATTAATGTGCGTGTCAAATTATCAGAAGTTGGTGGCTAACCAAAACAATCTGATGTATACATTTTGAATAGAAATGATTCAAATTCAACTGAATTTCAAACAACCTAAATCAAGTCATATTTTCCAAATTACTTTAAAAAAATCGACTAAATATGTAGATATCCAAATTGACAATCGGAAACTTTACTTTCGTTCAGGTGAGACTATTAGAGAAAGGGTTTCCAAATTGTCAATGTTAAGAGAATATTTGATGTTATAATTAATTCAGAAATTAATGTGATGCATGTTTTAATTCAAATCCTAAATTGGAGTACAAATAAAAAAGAAGATGTGGTATGATTGCCAATGAGACAACTCTCCACAAGAGACCAAATGACACAGAAATTAACAACTATAGGTCACCGTACGGCCTTCAACAATGAGCAGAGCCCATACTGCACAGTCAGCTATAAAAGGCCCAGAAATGACAATGTAAAACAATTCAAACGAGAATACTAAGTATACTTTCTTATTAAAATATATTTCATTCGAGTATAAATTTGAAAAAGAAATTTTGGACTAATTTGTAATACATTTTCAAGCTGTTTCTCTAGGGAAAACTGATTTTATTACCTTTCAACTATTAACAGTTTAAGTACAATTGTAATGACAAAATACCTACATCATCATCTAGGCATCTATAATCAAATCATCTCCATGTCTAGGACTGTACTTTTCGTCTTCTTCTCTCTTGGCTCCCGTCTATCTGTAATACATATTCAAATTATTTTAATATCTATCAGACAACTATTAATAAATAAAAAAAAAATATACTTACTTTCCGATGCATATGTTACCTGTCCTGACGTAAATGTCCTGGGGCTGGTATCTGAAACAAAAACAAAATAAGTTCAAAAATATTGAACCAAATATAAAACTTAAAAAATTGGCTACTTTAATTTTTCTTTTCTTTCAAAATATCTATAAAGAAAAACTGGAATTAATGGCAGCCATCATCATTGCTCAATTGCTCTTTTTGACTATATATCATTAACTTATTTTCATTTTAAATCTATATTTCAATCAATAATGAGGACGGTTTAATGATATAATCATTATTTCCGAAATTAATGTGCGTGTCAAATTATCAGAAGTTGGTGGCTAACCAAAACAATCTGATGTATACATTTTGAACAGAAATGATTCAAATTCAACTGAATTTCAAACAACCTAAATCAAGTCATATTTTCCAAATTACTTTAAAAAAATCGACTAAATATGTAGATATCGAAATTGACAATCGGAAACTTTACTTTCGTTCAGGTGAGACTATTAGAGAAAGGGTTTCCAAATTGTCAATGCTAAGAGAATATTTGCTGTTATAATTAATTCAGAAATTAATGTGATGCATGTTTTAATTCAAATCCTAAATTGGAGTACAAATAAAAAAGAAGATGTGGTATGATTGCCAATGAGACAACTCTCCACAAGAGACCAAATGACACAGAAATTAACAACTATAGGTCACCGTACGGCCTTCAACAATGAGCAAAGCCCATACTGCACAGTCAGCTATAAAAGGCCCCG